TACATGATGGAGTTCATAGACTAGTCTATGGGAGGACTGCCAAGTAAGTTAACATCATCTAATGAACTGATGATATGCTTCCTTCTCTCTACTGCAGTATTGCAGGGAAGATACTTCAGATTATATTACTATCAGTATCAATTGTATTTTTACTAATCAGTGGAATAAGTGTTGCTGTTGGTTGGGCTAAAACATGCAAGACTATAAAGTAAGGAACATCATACAGCTAGTTAAACAGATGCTACTGTACATGTTAGAGATGCTACTGATGGTTTGGTAACTTGTAATGATGATGATGGAAGTAGATATCTTAACCAGGAGATGTTTGGATCTGCAGTAAGTGACTAATACTAAATACTGCAATCGTTTCAATTATCAAACTGTAAGCTTCAATTGCAATGGGGAAACAATTTGAACAGAAACAAACCATGTGACCTCATATACTATTGCAGCCATTATCTGTTCTTCATGTATAGATATGTGCTTGGGTGAGTCTATCCTTCACTGCAGTGGCTATACAGTTTGCTGTTGTTAAAAGTATAATGGAAGAGAAAGGAGAGACTCATACTGAAGAAGAGGAACCACTCATCAACAGTAGCCATTAAGAGTGTGTGAACTATTTGAGCTAGTGTGTGTATCTTGTTAATGTGAAACAACAATGGAGGGTGTATTCATTCCAATAATACTTTTAACATTTTCAGTTTATGTTGAGTACAAAAAATAAACAAAATTATTGTATAGATGCATCATTATAATAAACAATAGTATCATTATATTGTGTAGAGGCTTGCAGCAAAGATGATATCTCTCCTCAAGAGAACAGACACTTCCTCCATTAGAAGGGACAGCTGCTTCTCAGTCCCCCACCAGTTTACAAGCTTTACCAATATCACGACACAATTCATCCAATCTCTGAACACACTTCACTATAACACCTAATAAGGACATTGTGATGTCATGTGATGTCATAAGATGTCACATGACAGGCTTACCTTCAGACACATCAGCTATAGCCTTGGGTATGTTCCAAAAAATGATTCCAAAATCATTTTTTCATTGTTGTCATTTCAACTGCTAAACATGAATTCTATGGAGTAGCAATGTACATTGTAACCACTAACAACAGTGTGATTATATTTTATTTTATAGGATTGAAGCAACAATTTGTGGATGCTATCCTTTATGTCCAAGTGATCTTGTATATCCAGAGATATTTCCAGGTACTTGATGTGTTCCAATGATATGATGATGCTTTCTTTCTTGATAGAGGATTGTCTCTACAATACTCCTCAGCAGTTGTTTAAGAAAGTAAAGAATATGTGTCAGAGACCATACCTTGCTAAACATTATAGACACAAAATGTCTTTCAATTCCAGTCTATATCAATGGAAATATCTTAAACCACTGTATAGTTCATTATTTAATTTTTAGTTCAATAATCTCAGCCTGTACTGAAATAAGTTGAACTAACAGTAGATTATGTGTGGGATTATTATGATAATGTCTACTCCACTCACAACATTGATCCCAAGGTGGCCAGTTTACTTTAGCAAGCTAGCACAGCCTAGCAGCAGCTCAGATAAGCATATGTCATTCGTGTGATCATTTGGCATATAAAGCACCTCACCCATCATTAGCTGACCAGTTAGTCTATAACAGGTCTATAATATGCCTCTCCTTAGCAGTATACTCAATGTGTCTCTACTGGTCACACTAGTCCTTGCATTAGGACTCAGTGGAGCAGCTTTTGGACTATTTGCTCATAATAATATCCTTGGAGTTTGTGTTCTTGATATAACAACTGATATTGAGACTGGTAACCATAAGCTGTGTAATGCCAGTCTTGCTGGATACATTTTAGCCAGTATATGTATAGCTGTGGTAACAATGATGGAGTTCAATAAACTAGTCTATGGAAAGACTGCCAAGTAAGTTAATATCATGTAATGAACTGATATGCTTCCTTCTCTCTACTGCAGTATTGCAGGGAAGATACTTCAGATTATATTACTATCAGTATCAATTGTATTTTTACTAATCAGTGGAATAAGTGTTACTGTTGGTTGGGCTAAAACATGCAAGACTATAAAGTAAGAGCGATTGCTACTGCCATTTAATCTAATATAATTGTACATCCAGGAATACTAGTGGTTTGTCGTGCAGTGATAAGGAGAATCCATTCTTAATTGTTGTTAATAACCAGGAAATGATTGGCTCTGCAGTAAGTAGCAGATACAGCAGTAGTTTATGGTACTTAGTAACAGTTGTTAAATTGTCACAGCTATATATGCATTGCAAACAGTTTGGAAAACAGTTTACCTGAACTTCCTAGGGGCTTCCTGGGCCATTGTTGGTAACAATAGAAATACCATTAGTATTATGACAAATAAATCACACCATTCATTATAGGTATGTGCCTTCCTTGGCCTAATATTCACCATATCAGCTACATTACTTGCTGTTGTTAAAAATATATTGACAAGGAAAGAAGATGATGATGAGAAGCCAATAATTGATAAATATTAAAACAAACTATAACATTGCTATTTTCTGCTGCTGGTGTGTATTGTGTGTGTTAGCTTATAATAGAAAAATATGTTTATTCCAATAATAATCATTTAGAGGAAGAATTTGATACAAAATAAATAATTTAAAGGGTGCACCATAATATTTATAACAGTTTACTTTAGCAAGTAAACACTAATTCCAGTGTACCGGGTATGTGTATGCTTAGCATCATGTGACCCTTTGGCATATAGAAACATGCATCATTAATAGTTAAAGAAATGTCTCTCTTCACTAACGTACTGAATGCCTCTCTACTGGTCACACTAGTCCTTGCATTAGGACTCAGTGGAGCTGCTTTTGGACTCTTCGCTCATAATAATATCTCTGGAGTCTGTTTACTGAATATAACACTGGATGAAAGTGCCATCATTGCTGGTCAGATTGATGGTAACCAGAAGCTGTGTAATGCCAGTCTTGCTGGATACATTATAGCCAGTATATGTATTGCTGTAGTGGCAATGATGGAGTTCAATAGACTAGTCTATGGGAGGACTGCCAAGTAAGTTAATATCATGTAATGAACTGATGATATGCTTCCTTCTCTCTACTGCAGTATTGCAGGGAAGATACTTCAGATTATATTACTATCAGTATCAATTGTATTTTTACTAATCAGTGGAATAAGTGTTGCTGTTGGTTGGGCTAAAACATGCAAGACTATAAAGTAAGGAACATCATACAGCTAGTAAAACAGATAATGGTACTGTACGTGATAGAGATGCTACTGATGG